GCGATATAATTCATATCTTAGTATTAATTATGTAACAAGTTAAACTTTTACTTTATTAATAAAGATCATGAGTAATATCTCACTCTAACATTAAAAAAAAATTAAAACTGGATCTATGGAATTATGACCCCAAACTAGACAACTACGACTCCTCAACAATCGTGCCCGTATCACTCTTAAAAAACTTGTTACTAATAAAAAAAATTGATTTTTGTCTTTGAAAAAAATATCGAAGAAAGGCTTACCTAGTGTTTTGAGTGTAAAGATTGGTCTATTCATGACTTTAAGAAGATAATCTGAAGCGACGAATCGACATTCTCTCAATTTCAACAAGGAAGCAAAAGCCGTGTATGGCATACTTCACATGAGAAGTAGGATATTGACAGTCTTTCTGCTATGGTTAACCATAGCCTAAGTTGAATGCATTGGGGTGTTTCTCATGGTTCAGCACTGGCTCTCTTATTTCCCTTGACACATCAGTTACAGGTAAGAAAAAAAATGAAAAAAAAAATGAAAAAAATGAAAATGAAAAAAAAAACGAAAACGAAAAAAAAAATGAAAATGAACAAATTTTTTTTTTACTGTTTTTTTAGGAAAATCCTATGTCGAAACTCTTGAGGAAAATCTTTTGCCAACTCTTCATGATTTTTCCATATCAAATTGGATTGATGCAAATCTACCTTGGTTTCAATATGACAATGCAAGACCACACACTGCAAAAATTACAAAAAAATTTCTTGCTGAAAAAAATATTAGGGTTATGAACTGGCCTTCGCAAAGTCCAGATCTTAATCCTATTGAAAATCTCTGGCATATAATGAAACATTGTCTTAAAAAAGTTATACATAAATCTCAAAACTTAATAGAACTTAAGCAATATGTTAAAAGGTGTTGGGATAAGATAAGTCTAGAAGATTATCAGCAATTAATCAAAAGTATACTGTATCACATTACGACTTGCATTGCAGCTGGGAGAGAACCAACAAAATATTGATTATTTAAATAAATTTTTAAATATAATTAATATATAAATATTCTATCATAAAAAAATTTTTTTTATTTAAAAAACTTTTTTACTGAGTTTTAAAAAGTATCTATAAACTTTTGGCAATCCACTGTATATTTAATTTAGTTTTAGTTTTAATAACATTTGTTTTATTTTTTATTTTTTTATTTTTTGAGTTGATAATATTGATATTACGAATTATATCTAATATATTATCTAATATATTAATATATATTTTTTAAAAAAATTTTTTTAATATTAATTAAATATTGATATTGTTAAATCTAAAAGTTTAACTTTTCTGAAAAAGGAAATTTAATACCAAAAATAGATCTAATATATTAATTCACTAATAATAGATCTATAGTATTTTATTTGCTGAACAATTTTACTTAGAACTTGAAAAAAGATTTTAATAAACACTTTATGGATAATTAAGGATTTCGATCAAACATTTATAGTATCCAATCAAAATATATTGTTATATCATATAATCAAGTAATAATTACCAAGTTATAAACATGAAGAATTGAGAAACATGTTACAAATAAATCTTTCATTAATTATTTCTATATTTGTATTATTTGTTATTTTCAATAATTTAGCATACCAATTATATATATTCTTTATTTATTTTTATATAAATAGAATAATTATATATTTTGTATACAAGAGGAAAATAATAGAAAAATTGTAAGGAAAATAAAGAAAGACTTGTAGAAGAATTAAAGGTATAATCAATAAAATTAGAAGCATAATGATGTTTTGATAATAAATAATTTTTTACAAATTATTACAATTATAATTGTTATGTCTCTTGCCATGATCTTGGAAATCTCAAATATGTTCTTTATGAATTATAGTCTACTACATTAGGATCATGTCTTAAATAAAGTGTTTTTCTGCTATTAGTTCTCTGTTTTATACTAATTTTTGAGATTGGATTAGTATATGACAATATATAGGCAAATTGATATTTTATTTATTATATATTTTATATTTAAGAAATTTTGTTATTTTTACAATATATATCTTTTAATATATAATATCAAATAAAGTAACAATATTTTATTTACTGGAAAAATTTACTTGCAACAAAAAAAATTTTTTTTATTAATTTTAGATTTAAAAAATAAAAAATATTTTTAATAATCAAATATATTAAATAATTGATAAATAAGCTAATTTTTTTTATATTTCAATAATTAATTATTCGATATTAATAAATATTTTTATATGAAAGTTTATAATTCAAGCTTTAAAATTAACAATTATTTATTAAATAATATTATTATATAATTATTTTGATAGTTAATTATTGAATATTGATAATTCTTTTTTATATAAAACCACATGATTTAAACTTTAAAATAAATATTCATTTATTAAATAATATTATATAAAATTTGAAAATTTTAAAATTACAATATTATTATCTTAATAACCAGTTATTCAATACCAATAACTATTTTTTAAATAGAAATTTATAATTCCAAGCTTCAAGACAAATATTTATTGATTAAATAATATTGCATATTGATAAAAAAATTAATATTTTAATCTTTCTAAAAATTTAAAATTCTAAAATTTAAATTAAATAATTTTTAATAAAATATCCCATAATTAATCAATGCCATATTGACATGATATAAAATTTAGGATTATACTTTTGGGATAATAATAAAATTATATTGTTTGATTTGATTCAAAAATAATTATACAAATAATTATAGTAAGTGAAATAAATAATAAAACCTTTTAAATTTGAAAAAGTGAAAAAGATGAAAACGGTGAAAAAATATAATAATAAATTAGTAATACAGAAATAATTTTAGAATAGAAGATATTTCAAGGATAAATATTAATAAAAAATTGTTTGATAAGGAATTTGTAAACTTTGACAAAAACCAGGTGCAATACTTATATTAAAAACATACATACTGTATACATACTGTATATGTATAAACATAAATATATAAAAAAAATATTAAAGTTTGATAAACATTTTTTTTCAGAATGTTCAAAGTTTATTTATTTTATTTTTAAAATTGTTATTGTTGCTTTTTTTTTAAAAAAAATCCACTTTTGAAATTTTTGCAAAAAAAAACAATTAACTTTTTCAACCATTAATAATTAAAGAGTTTGCATGTGTTATGTCATAAAGGCACTTGTTATTTGGTAAAAAAAAAACATATGTGACACATTCAAAAATCGCTTAATTTAAATTTGAAACTAAAATTAATCAGAAGTTGTTATTTACGTGTCTTTATAAAATTGTTTGATTGATTCGATTTTGATTAAGCTGGCTTTTGGATTACATATTCAAACCCGTTACCGTATTTTTCAAATGAGTTTTTGATCCAATCAAAATTTCTGGTGTCATAAAAGCTTTCTTGTCGTTGTTATATATTTCTTTCATCTTGATCAAGTGGTCGATCATAATCAAAGTTGTGTCTTAATTCCGTCATTGACCGCAGTTTAGCAATTTTCAGTGGTCCATTTATTAAATGTTACTTTTGTTTGTGTAATCAAAATGATGTAATTGTAAACTCGTTTGTTATATGAAGAGTTTCCATAAATACGTTACTTTTGCCTTTGCATCACTCAAAATTGTACAAATGATGATCGCAAACGAAGTTGTCTACAAGGGTCTGAACGAAAGAACATCTTCGATTGTTGAAAAGGTTTCACCACGCCCACATATTTTGACGGTAAATCAATCAACGTAACTCGAGATCTCATATTAGTAATCTGTTCTGTGTATGCAACGATAGCGCAATGCGGTACTGCATTCGTATTCGTTTATTCTGAATAGGATTTTTACATTCCTTTTTGCCTTTTCTTTTGATATTATTACCACTATATAAGCAAGGTTAGCGCAATATGGATATTTCTTTAAAAAAAGAAATCTTGGCACATTCGAGATTATTGTTTTCGGCAAATATAGTAAAAAAAATTTCTTGTGTTATAGATGCGATCACAATGTACTATATGAGGAACGTTTTAACTGTTGTGGTTGGTGGTAAATATTCTTGCGTTTCGATTACTATAGTTAATCCCGTTACTTTGTGTGAAAAAAAAGGTGACCATGAATTATATAAATAAATAAGGCAGTTATGAACCTACGCAATACTGTAGTCACTATACTCTGGAACGCCGCCACTCTAACGAAAATTCAAGATGAACCCTTTTGACCTATTTAAAAAATACCGAAACACAGAGCCATTGAGTATTTTATTGCTCAGAGCTTTCGTAATGATTGCTCTTATGGCAGCTTTAGTAGGATATATTACGGCATTATTTATAGATATAGCAAATGAGCCTCCGTCAATTAAAACCTTAATCTGTACGTCACTTCATTTAATTTTCGTGTGATTATGTTGGTATTTATTTCAAGTAAATAATCTGTTCTATTCTTTTTTTTGTGATTTTAGATGAAGCGGATTCTCTGCCTATACCTGGTATAGTATCGATGATGATGAAATGGTTGATGTGAATAGATTTGTTCTGACATTAATTTAACCGTTTTCAGATTTGGTTTTTGCGTTTAAACTAAATTTCAAAATGCAATGCAAATTCTATAGTAAGTTGTAAATTTTAATCATAAAAAGAGCAAAAATTAGCAACAATCGTATAGCAATTATTTTATTCTCTACAATTAGCAACCCAAGGTGCTGTCGCGGATTCTTGTGATAATTATCTTTACCAACCAACTTTATCAAATGGATCATATATTGGTGCATTCACGGCGAATTCAGAACGTTCTTTTACGCAGAAAGGTCCAAACCCTATCGGATTCGTCGGCATCACTGCTTTCGTTAATGATCCTTCCTTTAATTACAAGGACGATAACGTAATGACGATGATGGCTATTGATTCTGGTACATATTCATTATTTACGCATCTTCACCGATTATTCGATTTTAACGTGCGCATTCTATTCTATTTTAGAAAAGGATCCTATCAATGTTCAATATGCCGGTCAAGTGACCCAAGACATGATAGATTCCCTTCCAGTCTATACGCGAGAATTTATGTTTAGTAACGTTGCTACAATGGTGAACGGAGAGGTATTGAAAGGAACATTCATGTTGATGTGACTTTAATCAATTTGTCATGCACTTATTCTTATAACATACCATAGGTAGTAAGTACGACATTTACCCGGGGAATCCGGAATTCGATTAAAAAAAGATTTATCGACATATTTGGGATCACCCCAGAGATGGAACAAGTACCATTTATTATGATAAGCACACGTAAGCGAGTATTTGATTCGGAAACTTATCAAATAAACATACTGAATCATAATTTATTATGTAAAATTAGAGGGTATTCCTAATCCTGTGATTAATGTGACTCAGACTTACGTCTCTGGTTTGCTCCTCAAACCACTAAATTTTATAATTCGCGAGGATACCGAACAGAGGTTAGCTTATTATTTACACATACAATACGTACAAAGACTTTTTTAATAAAAAAATTTTTTTAAAATATATATATATATATATGGCAATTTAGGAGCCGAACTGTAAGTACTTTTATTATTTCACACTTCTCACATTTGCACGTGACTTATTCTTGAAATTTTATTTAGATAATATCACAAATAGGCATGTTAGGTGGCGCGTGGTCTGTGTGTTCAATCATATATAGTACATTATTTGGTAAGAAATTTCTATAAATAATGAATTGGTTCGATGCCAATATTCTTATTCTAATCAGAATATCGTTTCCTCTCGTGTAAATTATTATAGGAAATGATACCCTTAGTCCATTTGGTTGTGTGCAATTCTGTTGTCCGTGCTTTAGAATTAAAACACAGAATAAACTAAGAAGTACATTGCCTCTCATACCGCTCGTTAACCAAGACTCAACTAATATTTCACAGAACATCAACGATCAGAGTGCATTGGTTTCACACTTACAAGATCGTATCAATGCGTTAGAGATGTTCTTAAAGGAATATGTGGTAGATACAGAATATTTGGAATCTCTGGTTAAAAAAGGCACGAAAAGTCATGGCGAAAAACCCGTGCCAAATAATAACCGTTATAATGAACCTTCCTATAACGTAATGCAAACTCAACAACCGTACTATTCGCCGGTTGGTCAAACGGGTGGTGGTTATAATGTTCGATACGAATAACCAGAACTACTGTATATTTAAAAAATTGGACTTTTATTAGAATTTTTACCTCATTTCAGACTATATTACACGTTTGTGAATTACGGGATAACATTCTTATAATTATTCTTTTGTACGTATTACCCATTCGGCAACTCCGTGTTTGTATTAATATACTGTAATTACCGATTTGATGTTATGTTTATATTACTGTATACTGTATTTGTTGTTGTGATTGGATCGACTGAGAGACAAAGCATCTATCTTGTCAACCATTTTCAATCTTATTTTTCGATAATAAAAACGTGGTCAGAGTTTAAAAACCACGAACAGTCAATAAGGAAATTCCTACCTAAAATAGATGCCATTGTGTCCATTTTTTGCCAATTCAACAAACTATAATATTAACTTGAATATTAATGTACTATGTCCAAAAAATACAGTATTTCACATCTTAACAAATATAGCGTTTAAAGAAAATTCCGTTGGAAAAAAAGAAAAAAGAAAAATTAACTTTATTCAGAGTCTGTGTGTGCAACGATAGCGCAATACGGTACTGCATCGTATTCGTTTATTCTGAATAAAGGATTTTTGCATTCCTTTTTGCCTTTTCTTTTATATTATTACCATTGTAAGCGAGGTTGGCGTAATCTGGATATTTATGTACAAAAAGAAATCTCGGCACATTCGAGATTATTGTTTTTTCGGCAAATATAGCAAAGAAATCTATAAACGCGGGTCCCAATGTACCATATGAGGAACGTTTTAACTGTTGTGGTTGACGGGAAATATCCTCTTCGTTTCGACTACTATAGTTAATCCCGTTATTCCGTGAAAAAAAAAAGGTAATCGTGAATTCTATAAATAAATAAGGTAGCTATGAACCAACGCAATACTGTAGTCACTATACTCTAGAGCGTCGCCACCCCAACGAAAATTCAAGATGAAACCTTTTGACCTATTTAAAAAATATCGAAAAACAGAGCCATTTAGTATTTTATTGCTCCGAGCTTTCGTAATTGTTGCTCTTATATCAGGTTTAGCAGGATATGTTACGGTAACATTTATAAATATAGTAAATGAGGTTCCGATAACTAAAACCTCGATCTGTATGTCACTTCACCTACTCTTCGTGTGATTACGTTAGTGTTTATTTCAAGCAAATAATTTGTTTTTTTCTTTTTTGTGATTTTAGCTGAAGTGGATTCTCTGCCTATACCTGGTATAGTATTTATTATGATAAAATGATTAATGTGAATAAGATTTGTTGTAACGTTAATTAACCGTTTTCAGATATGATTTTTACGTTTCCACGAAATTTCACAATACAATGTAAACTCTACAGTAAGTTGCAGATTTCAATCATAAAAATAGCAACAATAAAAAAACAATAATACAACAATTAATTTATTCTCTACAATTAGAAACCCAAGGAGGCGAACAATCGTGTGATAATTATCTTTACCAACCAACTTTGTCAAATGGAACATATATTGGTGCATTCACGGCGAATTTAGAACGTAATTTTACGCGGAATGGTCCAAATTCTATCGAATTCATCGGAATCACTGCTGTCTTTAATGAACGTTCCTTTAATTATAAAGACAATAACTTCATGACGATTATGGCTATTGATTCTGGTACATATTCATTATTTACACATCTTCACCGGTTATTCGACTTTAACGTGCGCATTCTCTTTTATTTTAGAAAAGAATCCTATCAACGTTCAAGGTGTTGGTCAATTGACCGATGACATGATAAATTCCCTTCCAAGTTATATACAAGAATTTATGTTTAGTAACGTTTATACAATGGTGAACGGAGAGGTATTAAAATGAACATTCATGTTAATGTGACTTTAATCAATTTGTCATGTATTTATTCTTATAACATATCATAGATAGTAAGTATGACATTTGCCCGGAGTATCCGGAATTCGATTAAAAAAAGATTTATCGACATATTTGGGATCCCCCCAGAGCTAGATCAAGTACCATATATTATGACAAGCACACGTAAGCGAGTATTTGATTCGGTGACTTATTAAATAACCATTTTAAAATTATAATTTATCATATAAAATTAGAGGGTATTCCTAGTCCTGGGATTAATGTAACTCAGACTTACGTCTCTAGTTTAATGCTCAAACCACTATATTATATGATTCGCGTGGAGACCGAACAGAGGTTAGCTTATTTTTTACACATTAAATACACACTAAAAAGACCTTTTCTAATAATAATTTTTTTTTAAAAAAAACAACATGACACTTTAGGAGCCGAACTGTAAGTCTTTTATTATTTCACACTTCTTAAATTTCTACGTGACTTATTCTTGACATTTTTATTTAGATAATATCACAAATAGGCCTGTTAGGTGGCGCGTGGTCTGTGTGTTCAATCATATATAGTACATTATTTGGTAAGAAATTTCTATAAATAATGAATTAGTTCGATACGAGTATTCTTATTCTAACCAGAATATTGTTTCCTCTCGTATATTATAGGAATTGATACTCTTAGTCCATTTGGTTGTGTGCAACTCCATTGTCCGTGCTTTAGAAATAAAACACAGAATAAATTAAGAAGTACATTGCCTCTCATACCGCTCGTTAACCAAGACTCAACTGATATTTCACAGAACACCAACAGCCAGGGTGCAATGGTTTCGCACTTACGAGATCGTATAAATGCGTTAGAGATGTTCTTAAAGGAATATGTGGTAGACGCAGGATATTTGGAATCTCTGGTTGAAAAAGGAACGAAAAGTCATGGCGAAAAACCGGTGCCAAATAATAATCGTTATAACGAACCTTCCTATAACGTAACGCAAAATCAACAACCGTACTATTTATCAGTTGATAAAACGGGTGGTGGTTATGTTCAATATGGTGTATAATGGCATGACTAGAACTACTGTATATTTAATAATTAGGCTTTTATTGGAATTTTTACATCATTTCAGACTAGATTAGAATTTTCACATCATTTCACACTAGATTAGAATTTTCACATCATTTTAGACTAGATTACGTTTGTGAATTACGGGTTAACATTCTTATAATTATTCTTTTGTACTCATTAACATGTATTACCATTCAGAAATGCCGTGTTTGTATTAATATAATTTTATGTTTATACTATACTATATTTGTTATGATTGGATCGACTGTGAGACAGAACATTCATCTCGTCAATATTTTTCAATGGTAAAAACGTGGTCAGAGTTTAAAACCACGAACGGTCAATATGGGAAATTCCTACCTAAAATAGATGCCATTGTGTCTATATTTTGTCAATTCAACGAACGTCTATATCATTAACTTGGACATTATTTAATTACTATGTCCCAAATAAATACTGTATTACGCATCTTAACAAATACAGTATAGTGTTTAAAGACATTCCGTTGGAAAGTAAGAAAAAGAAAAAAATAACTATATTCAGTGTATATAACGCATATACTGTGTAATGCATGTATACTGCAATAAAACACTTATTCTTAACACATCATTTATGCTATTTCCTCTTTCGAAATAAAAATCTTATCGTTCATTGTTAACATTTAAATATTGTCAAAAACATACACACCACTTTACATGAGCCGGTAATAAAATATTCGAATCTATTAATGAACGAAACGAATCTGTGCATGATGCATGTAAAATAAAATTTCCAAAAGATATTAGATTGCAGTATAAGGAATGCGCGAATTATGATATTAAAAAAATTTTTTTTTTGCGATAATTGACAATAGTTATATACAGTATTTTTCCAATATTTTTTATTACAGTACGTATTATAAATAATAACTACAGTATTTAAATTTTAATTTATCATGATTTAATATTAGATAAACTAAAAACAATGTTACATATTTTTAATATTGTGACGGTCGATCGGCGAGTCTGCAGAGTATCGCGTAACCGTCGATATGGTAAGGTAATTAATAAAATTTAAGGTGTATTCGATTTGGCTGAGTAAAAGAATAATCCACTGTCCTTTATTTACTTTGGGACGGTTTTTACATTCTGAAAAATAAGGTGACATCGATTATCTAATGTCTTCTCATGATTCTCCTTAATTACATAATGCTCGATCACAATGATTTTATATTACTTAATCGTTTTCATGATCCTCCCCTCATTACCTAATTCTTTAACACGCTATTCTACTATTATTTTAACCATTTCCCATTACTTTTGCTTACACTTTCTTATCATAACACCTTAAGTCGACGATTAGGCACGTGACTGGCGTCGCTCGATAAATTTAAAGCTATGTCTTTATTTGAAATTATATTTCAATATTTTATTCTTTGTTATAGTAAACTCTTGATATAGCAAAGTTTACTTAAAATTTTGATATTGAATGCTTTTAAATGTTAATTTTGATGTAATGACATATGATCATAATTATATTTAATTATAAGAATTTTAATATATGATATATAATATTGTTAAAATTAATTTTGAACTTTAATATACTTCAATAAAGATTTTTTTGTAATAAATTCTAAAGAAGTTGCTTTGATTCATTTTATCATAAATATAATTTATAATTATAAAACAATATAAATAATATGACACCTTCTTTTATCAACATGAAATCAAAAAATATGAAGAAAAAGACAAAGTTATTTGTTAAAGAAGGTCAGAATATATTTCCCAATATTTTAGATACTTGAATTAAAGAATAGCTTGCATTATTTTACATATTATAAGTTAAACAGTTCTAAAATACAAAATCAGATTAAATATCAACATTGTTATAATAATCAATATATTATATATATATTTATTTATTTAATATTAGTTAAAATTTTTCTATCTTAACTTAATAAAATTAAAGTACATATTAAGAGCTATTGAATAATTGAAAAGTTTATAATGTTGAACTGGAAAATAGTAAGTCTGTTGCTTCACCAGTCCAAAGTTAATGTTATTAAAGGTAAGTCAGGATATATAAAATTAACTTGGCCAAGGTCTTCTTTTATTAACAAGCTTTTCTCTTCTTTTTTAGCACTAGTTCTTCACTTGATAATCCCAGTCTATATCCTATAGCAGCAATTATTCTTTCTTAAATAATGTGTACTTGAAAAGATAAGTTGTTAATTAAAATATTTCTTTTTAAGCATTTCAATTTTACCAATTGTTTCTTTTATTATTGTTATTATTATTGTTTTCTTTCTTTTTACTTGTACATTGACATTACTATTTATATTATTTACAAGAAGAATAAAAAAACAATTAAGAGCAAAATATATTATTAGAACTAAAATAAACTATTAGTAAGTTATTTTTTTTTCTTCTCACTAACTGGAGTTGTTGCTCAATATACTTTTATTATATAGAGATTTGTGAATTGATTACATATTAAATATATGATTACTGCTGTAATTTCTATTATATTTTGTATATCAAACTACATTGAGATATTTTTTCAAATGTTAATTTTGAGTTATTGATTTATTCTATAATCTGAATTATAGCAAAAGAACCAAGATTAGCATGTTAAGATTTCACTAGTATATTTTAGCATTACTGCACTATTTCAGTTTTATTTGGGGTATGTTAAGGGGAAGGGAAAGTGGGGAACTGGGAATAATACCTTTTTCCAATAAATAAAACCCTATTCAAGATTATCTTACTGTTTTGTACTACCTATAACTAGTCTTTGACCATTTAATTCTTGTTTTCCTATTATAGCTCAAGGATATTCAAGATACTTATAACTATAGATTTACAATCTACAGTAGTTTTGCAACTACTTGGAAATACTAGATGCCTTTTCGGGATAAGTAGTATAGGAATGGACTTCTTACTAGATTGTGATAGGATTTTCAGATAATCTTTTTGCAGAAAGACATTAGGTATTATAGAAAGCAATCACTAAACCATCTTGTACTTAATCAGATACTTCATACATCTTTACAACTTCTAGTAATTATCATGACATCAATCAGATGATCATCGTACCACTATATCTTTTCTGGAGGTCACAATCTTAATACTCACTAGATCAGCATGTGAATTAGTTTCTTATGAAAAACAGCACATTATAGTGTCAGATACCATATTAATTCTATTTAAACATCTTCATCTAGGGTTGAACTGGTATCTTGCGATCTGATCTGTAAAATGTTAACCATTATACTATAGATCCACAGGTTATTTTAAAAAGGGAGAGTTACTGGTCCAATCTGGTTATGTAGTAATAATTAGACAACTGATACTTATTATTGTCATATCTAGCCTCTAGTATTAAGATTATTCACTAGCATTATAATAAGTACTTATGGAACCCTGAACTTCCAGTAAGATTTATAATGCTATAATATTTTAATGATCAGTTCATACTATTAGATAAGTTATCTAAACTATTATGACTACATTTTTTATGTTTATTATTAATGCTATTTTCTGATTTTCAAAGTATATACTGTGGCAATTATAGTATGTGACTATACTATATGACTTTTTCTGAATTAACAATAGTAATATAGAATATAATTCAATTTAAATCCAGTTATATTATAATTAATTATTAAGTAAAACAAAAAATTATATTAAGTTTCATAGTTTTTTTTATCTAATTATAATTTATAAAATCATTTAATATTTAATATTTTATTTCTTAAAAATAAAATATATATTAATATTTATAAGAAATATATAGCTAATATTAAATTTGATAAAAATAAAAATTATAAAATCATAACTTATGGAATATTTTATATTTGATTTATAATTGAAGTATCAGATTTATCTAATAAATATAAACAACTTTATACTAAAATTCAAATTAATAATGATATTGAAAATAAAGAAAATTTCAAGTATACTATAATTTTCATTGTGTTATTACAATAGTTGAATGTTAACATTACAATGAAAATATAAGTATTGATAAATAATTGATATTTAATACTATAAATATATGTTATAATTAGGGTTCCGAAAAAGTATCGAACTAGTATTGAACTGGTATTGAAATGGTATTGATCTATAGTAAATTTAATATATGGGTTGTAATCTACTCATATGTTTTTATAGTAAATTTAAGTATCGAACTGATATCGAAGTGGTATTGAAATGGTATTATTAGAAGCCCTAGTTATAATTAAACTCAAAATGTATCAATTTCTTATTTATCATAAAATTTTAGAGACTTATTTTCTAAATTATTATATAATATTCATATTTTTGAAATCATCAATTCTAGTTTAAAAGTGATGACACAAAAACATTATTTAATTAGTAAATATTAATTGTCAATAAAAACACCTAAAGGTGTTAATATAACTTTTAATCTAATATGTAATAGTTTATTTAACTAGAATCTGATACAAAAACATTTAAAAGTTGCATATAATAATTGTAAAGACCAGAACAAAAATAATATTACTCTTTAATTTAATATAATTAAACTTGATTTTATGGTTTCTGGACATACCAAGTTTCTTTGCAATCCATATTTAAAATTATTAAATCTCAATATTATAGATATGATATTATGAGTATGAATTTTATTAAGACAATTTTTAATTAATCAAAAAAAGATGAAAGTAATATAGTAGTTAGATATGATAAAAATGGTAAAGTAGGATGGGATTATTGTGATTTCAAAACTTTTTTCTTACCATATTTTGTTAAATGTGATGTTATACGAGCATTTTGACATTTTTACTTTTATTATGAAAAGTTTTATGCCAAGATTTAAAATGTTTTATTTTGATTTATACAAATATTTAGAAACAATCCCTTTAAAATCCTTATCTTTTAAACGTCAAACATACTTATTTAAAAAAATTCATCCATATGTACATGACCCCTATAAAGATAAACTGCGTTTGCTCCAATGAGTGTAATAGCAAAGAATATTATTATACGTGCTACTGTATATAATGTATGTAGATTATTTCTTAAATAAAAATTTCATTGTTATACAGTACTAACCGTCAATCTAAATTTAGAATAAAGTTTCGGATTACGTAGATAAAAAAACTACGTAAAGGATTGTATTAAATTATAATATATTAATAAAAATTCAAACTTTTACCATGTATAAAGCATATATTTGGGAACATAATCCACTAAAAACATCAATTTCAGTTATAACACCTCCAAGCCCCGAATTATTACGCAATAACACATATATTTAATAATTGTTTCGTGAACTGACACAAAAATTAGTAGCTGTTATATTTATAACTTAATATTTAAAAAAAAATTATGCAGTATACAGTAACTAACAACATGACAAGAGAATATGAAACATTCTAGATGGCCAACTGATATGAAACTTTCGCACATCTGATACTGTTACGCAAAGAATGCAATACAATAAACAGTTATTAGTTCAACAATGTAAGCAATCAACAATGATTTTACTATTTTCGTAGAATTATTTTCATATAAAAGGTCACATCACATAGTACAGTATTATCGATAATTCGATAAGTTTGTAATACAGTATCTGATTCACATACATAATTCGGGTCGTCTCCAACTACATCTTTGCAAAACGAAATTTGATTTTATTCTTGAATGCAACACTATATATAAAAGCAAAAATTCCCTTACAACTCTCAGTATAAGTGTCTAATTAAGGTCAATATCGAATAACCTTTCTAAAAAAAATGAATCACCAACGCCAAAGTTTATCATCCCTCCCTCAAGAAAACATGCCTCTCATCATTGACAGCAAAATACATGAAATCCATTTCTATGGACCTTCGCCCCTATCGGGGAATTTAATTCGTCAAAGCGAAATTCAACATATTTATTTTCATCAAACCACGTCTTCTCCGGATGTGTTATCACAAACGTCAACGGTTGATGTATCAACCCCTACTTCCCGAGGACGATCGCAAGACTCTGAAATTATTAACGAGGCAGAGCCTGTTGTATCCGGTCGTTCTTCATCCGAGACTGATGAAAATTCAACTATTGAAGATTCATCTAGCAAATGTCAAATCACACTTACCGAAAAACATATAAGAGGGCTAATATCGAGAATGTTTGATTGAGACGACTCATTTTTAATAAGTATAGTCTAAACAGTGTAAAAATTCTTTTATCAGCACGTGGATCGTGCCATTATCAACAAATTATACTTTCTTCCCTCAATCTATTTTCCTGGGGGTTTTTTTTTGTCTTACGTAAAAAGTAAATCATTAAAACAACTAAAACGAAGATAATTGTGCATACTCTTGTTTGTTACTTCACTAAGAACATTTTTACTGTCAAGGGGAGTTGCTGTATGTAAAGGATTGAAATAAAGAATTTTTATACAATGTATAAAAAACGTTCCTGAAATTCAGTCTTCTAAATAAAGTATATAAATTGATAAATAAATACTATTCAAAAGAATAACACCATCGCTTAATGTTATGCCCGTAACACTCCAGAAAGCCAACGGTTCTAAATTAAACTTGTACTCTCGCCATTTGATTATATCTCATGATAAAAACAAAAATTCATTCATCTGATGGTCAACATATAACGTCGCAAAGATATGCTTCTGTGTTGTACATAATATCAAACCAATATGATTTGAGTTTTTGAGTGTTTATAAGTTTAAAATATTGTACAAGGTTTTGTGTCACCGTCATTAAAAGTTTAGAGTTTTAGAGTTCATTGAAATAGGAAAGCTTAAAGAAAAAATGAATGATATTCTACATTCATTGTTAATGTTACGTGCTCATCGGTTAAACAATCCACTGAAGACAATAAACAAAACTTTATATAAAAATCACCAAAAGTGATTTCACCGACACTAAGAATACAATGCAGGAACTTTCAAATCCTAAAGTCTGTGCGCATTATGTCTCGGAATTAAATATATTCTTACGTTAAGTTACCCTATGATGTAATCCCCTGTTTTTAGACATGTGACCCAAGCTAGCATTAATTCAAATTTGTGTCGTAAGTTCCACATGCAAAATAGTATGAAACATAGGCGTGCATTACATATACAAAAGAGAAAAGCCAAATTTAATTACGTAATAGAAGAATCCAAAATGATCTTTATTTACAGTATAATATAAAAAATCAAAACTTGGGTGGTCATTATAAACCTCGAAGTGTATTGGATTAAATAATTAAAAATAAGATATATAATAGATCTAAAAATATTCTATATATGTTCAATTAATCTCGTATATTGTCAAAATTACGTGATTTGCAAATTTCTTGAGGTTATGATATACAGTAGATAATAACCAATTAAACAGCTATACAGTATAATCAAAATTAATCGCAAGAATTTTTTTTTTTATTGTCATATAACAAATTATTTCTTAAATAGGTTTTAATCGCAAAATTATTTATAAAAAAAATTATCTTTTTTTGAAATATTGAAATTGTGATGTAGAAAAGATAATAATGTCAAAATAATAAAAAAGCTTAAAGTTGTATTTCAAATATACGCAGTGCTTTTTTAAAGTCTTTGAAATTGTTTATTATTTTTTTTATAAAACAATTTATAATAAAAATCATTTAAATCATATAAAACTTTTTAAATATTACATGATTTTTAAGGTATAAAAAATATGATGAAATCTAAAAAATAATTTTATCATTAAATTATATAAATAATTTTTTAATTTAAATGTTTTAATGCTATCAACAATAAATTCTTATTTATATAGGCCATTATTTTTTAATAAGATATTGGTTATAAATTGTAAAATTAAAAATAAAACCACGTTATTAATACTTTTGGCACAAATAAGATAATTTTATAGTTACAAATTATTAATTGATTTTATTGAAAAGTAAAAAAACATCAAATTATTATATTATTTTTATTTATATTGTTATATAATCTTTTTTTTTATTTTATTTGTAATGATAAATAATTTATTTATTTAAAAATTAATTTATTATTATAATCATTATTTTTTTTTACTTTTCTATTTACTTTTCATTTATTTGTTTTTTTTTTATGTAAACATATAAAAATAATTAAAAATTATATAGTACATAAAATAAATATGCATATATTTAATAAAAATAAAAAAATTCTCATTATCAAAATTAGTTGCTACAAAATCATATTCTAATATTTTTCAAATTTGTTAAATTATATACATATATTAATCAGTGTTAAAAATAAAAAAAACTAACAAATTATTTATATAAATACTATATAATATATAAAAACTTTAAACACAAAAATCAATATTATGCTTATCAAAAATATAAAAAAATTAAAAAATATATAAGCATATAAATTATATATCTATATCTATATAAGTCTTAATTTTTTAAAAAGATATACATATATTATAAAATATAATACAATAATATTAAGAAAAAATTTCTTATCCTGTATATCAAATAAATATAATAAAATTTTTTAAATATTCAAATAAAAAATAAAATAATAAAAAATATAATTAATAATATAAAACTTTTATAATATTTTATAATATAATTATAATAATTCAATAATTATTATAAAGATTTATAATTTATAAATTGGTTTTATTATTATTATTTTATTTTTAATCCTGCAATCAGCTTAGCTTACTTGTCAATAGCCAAAGCCTCTAGATATAATTTATGGAAGTGAAATATTATTTTCCAATACTTCAATAGGATCAAAACATATAAATCACCTCTATAGTCACAATCATAAACCCAAATTGTGTCACACTCTCTTGTAGAAACTATATAAAAGAAAAAGAAAATAAAAAAGAAATAGAAAAAAAAAAACAGTACAATTGTGTATATAAGAAATGATAGGAAAAAAAAACTATTATCTATTTTAACTATCATTGAAGAGATTATTTTAGTGAACTTAAAATTCAAGCTCCTTATGATTTTTCACTTTTCATTACTTGTAATCAATTAGACTGTTTAATTTTTATTAAAGTGGTTAATATCCAAAAATATTTAAGGGCACTTCCAAAAGAGTATTTTTTGAAACTTTATACTTGAAAACTTCTAACTAGAAGAAATATTAGTTTTTTATTGTTGATTTTTTTTTCAAGTCATATTTTTCTGAAATTATTATATCACATAATTGGTAAATAGTTTCAGAATCTTCTTTTCTAACTATTTTCAAAATAAATATTAATATTTCAACTTGTTATCAGATTGAAATAGGACCTAGATCTTGTTGTTACTTCTGTTCTTAAAAAAAAATAAGAAAAAAAAGAAAAAAGAAAATAAAAATAAAAAAAAAGAGTCATTTCTCTTCTATTTACAACTTCTGTTTTATATAATACTTCCATACTACTCCTTTAACTAAAAACTGTTTAACTCTTTTAAGAATCAATCACATTATTGATTTGGTATTGTGTAATTGAAAACATGTAAAAAGTATATGTCTTGTTTACTTTTTCTGTAACTAACATAATCAACCAATTTGTAATCTTGATCAATTATCTTTCAGAAGATTTATTGTAATAAAAAATTCAGGGTCAAACTGAGGTAGACAAAATTTTCTAGAAAAACTAGAAAAAAAGGAAACATGCTTAAGAAACAAGAAGTAAGAAGTTAAAAAAATGATAGGAAAACTAAAAACTTCTTATTCTTATTTTTCTAAATTCTTGAATATCTTAAAAGCCTTTGAAAGATATTTTTTTTTGTCAGTTTTTTTTCTAAAAAAGTGTTCTTGCCATAAGTTTTTTAGATAGGTTTCTTGTATTTAATTACAAAAATAAACAGGAAAAGTGTTTTAAAAAGAGAAAAATAAAACAAGTGATAACTGCTACTTGTTTTGCTAGTTAAAGAACCAGTATTATTGATGAAAATATATGGACTTTATTATTATAAAGATATAAAATCTTTTAAGAATATCTGTTTTTTGAGTTGATAAAAGGATTAATAAAAAAAGTTTTTTAAAATTTCACCGTAATTCATAAATTAGTATATATATATATATATATATTTAATAATATTTTTATTTAATTTCAAATATTATTATATAAATTATAAAATACTAATATAAAAACATAATCAATAATAAAAAACTCTTTCTCCAAAAAATTTGTATCGCTTAAAAATTTCCTTTTTTAATAACTAACAAAATTCAAAGAAGAAACAAAACAACAAATGCTCCTAGGAGCTCTTCTCCCAAGGGCAAATCTCCAAACTCTTCCCATATCCTTTTGGATATTGTAGTAGCAAATCCAAACAAACATCTCTTTTCTATAGTATACAAGGAAAGCAACTCAAATACTATCCAAATCACTGAACCAGCAAAAAATGTATCTATTCCAACCCTAGCCAACTTCCCCAAGTATTGGATTGTTCCTCTACAAAACCCAACCACCAACAGCAACTCAAACATCACCAACGACTCTCTACCAGTAGACATCGTCTTCATTGCCTTCAAAAAAGTGTCAATCGGCTTCAACTCCCACACTTATACACAATGGCAACACTAACTATCAATAACATGAAAAGCAACACCCAAAACAATCTCAACGACTTTTTTCAATATCAGGAGAGAAATAATCTTGCCCAAAGCATAAGGGAGACCATCGCTAGGAAAGTGTTAAACAGCAACTTAAATTACACCTTTCACCTGTCCTGAAACCAAGTCAACATAATCAAAAGTGGAAGCAAATTCAGTCTTGACAAATTCAAAATGCACCAACTCACACTCCACCTAATACACCTGTTCAGGACGAAAAACTTGAAGACAAAAAACAGACTTCTCAAATAAACTTGGATAAAAAAAAATCCATATCCCAAATCCCTCAAAAAATCCCAAACAGTTTACCCCCATCAAATGATTAACTTAACACAAGCACCCCAAATATGGTCAAAGTTAGCAGCAATGCAAATGCACCCTCTGCAGCACTTGAAAGTGCATGCATATTAAGCATAACAAATGCTGCACCACCAAACAACAGTGATCCTCACAACCCAAGTAACATTATGCAAGTGGATAATTACTAGGGTTCCGAAAAAGTACCGAACTGGTATCGAACTGGTATCGAAATGGTACCGATCTATAGTAAATTTAATATATGGGTTGTGACCTACTTATATGTTTTTATAGTAAATTTAA